CCCCTGAGACGCCGATAACACCATATAGATACTGACCATACCCTTTCGTACACCAACCGCAGTGAGCCCCTTTAGGCACCAGCCGTGAGTTGCTTGTGTCTTTTTAGACAGCGAGCAAAGTCGAGTTTCTTGCCCTCCTTGGGCATGTGAGTGCCGCTTGCAATGCAAAGCACGCGCATGCGAGGGTCATATCGGAGACCAGTAAGAAGCTTGGGCGTAATGAGGAAATACTGCGACGTGTGCTCACGGCAGGCAATCTCCACCATACGTTCATGTACCATGCGCTCGTTACGAGGATCCATACCCTGGTTGATCTCATCAACCACCCGGAAGGGCGACTGCGCCATTGATTGCAGAGCCATCAGGTAAAATATGGTCGAAACAGCACGCTCACCGCCGGACTGGCGATGCTGGTTGAGCTGCTGAAGAGTTTCGTTTTCTCTGTGTCATTGTCAGCAACTGCCATCTCGGCACAAAAAAGGAGCGTGAGACTCTTCAATGAGGGATGTGTGCTTACCTGAACTTGACCATGATATCCAGGGCCCACTGGTCAAAGTCTTCATCCTTGTGGACCCGGATCTCGCCAGCGCAGTTGATCTGCTCGAAATTGTAGCTGAAGGCGTCATTGATTTTACTGATCAGTTCGTCGAGCTGCGGCTCCCACTTCTCGCGAATCTTTGTGATTTGGCGGTTGAGATGGTCGAGCTTAGCCGTAGTGGATTCCATCTTGGCGCGCAGCTTCTCGATCTCCCGGGCCCGCATCTCGAATTCGCGCAGGGCTCCTGGGTTCGCAACATGGATTTGTTCGATTGTGTGTTGCTCGGCTGCGATCTCGTTTTCGACGTCTTCGACGCTCTTGTCCTTGGCCAGAGATTCAAGGAGGTCTTTCCTAGTCTCATCCTGGGCAAAAATCTCAATGACTTTGCCCTGGGCGTCCTCAGCTCGCTGCCTGGTACGCTGAGAGTCCTGGGTCAAGGCAGCAATATTGCGCTTCTCGTCCTCCAACATCTGTACGAGCTCATTATTCCTAGCTTTGAGACCCTGTACGTCAGACTTGGCCTCGATTTCGCGGATCTGAGCCTCGAGCAATGCCTCTTGTGCAGCGCGAACCCCCGCAATAGCCGCGTGGTGCTTCAAGGTGGTCTTAGCCTTGAGTATCGCGGCTTTATCGATATCAAAGCCCAACTGCTGAATGGCCGATCGGGCCTCCTCGACCTCCGCCTTCTTCTGGTCCAAGGCTCTCTTCTCACTTTCTATGTCAAGGTCAGTATCTTCGTTGATAGTATTGTGGTAAGCTGCTTACCAAGCTTGACTGGGATCGCTTGATAAGCGTTGTGGGCTCTCTGGAGCTCATTCTTTCTTTCCTTGAGTGTTTTCTGGAACCGAATTAGTATCAAGGTCTCGAGTGCTCGCGATGTGACTTACAAGGTCGTCATGGATCTCATTCCTCCTGTCGTTGAAACCAGCCATCTGGCCTCGCACTTCGGTGTTTTGAGCTTTCAAAGCGTCAAACTCTGCCTCGACCTCGCTGATCTTGCGTTTGATTTCGCTCTTCTCTGCTTCATCGACTGGTTGATCTGTCCAGAACATGCCTTGCTGAATGCCCCTGGTCATCGTCGAAACGGCTCCGGGGCCAAGATCTTTCCGTCGAGACACTCTGTAGAGCTGGCGACCCGTCGACCAGTTGTTGATCACCTCCCCTTGGACGATTCGATCATATTGGGCGTCGTTGATGTCTTTAAGTGCGATACCCGAAGCATCGATCTTCTTTTCGTTGCAAAGCATCGCGAGCACTGGCTCTGGCCCAGTGATCATGTCCAGTGCAAAAGCGTCCAGTCCTAGGGCGTTCGCCTCGTCCCGACTCATCTTAGGGCGGAACTCATGTAACGGCTTGAGGATTGACCGAACATTGACAGAAAGACTCATGACCTTGTACAGGTAATGACTGAGCTTCTTATGATCTTCGCGAGTCTGCGCCGTGAAACACAGAAAATCGTCGTTGTGTAGCAGTGCTTGGATCTGATCCGAATACCGTTCATCCTTGACTGAGCAGCAGAGAGCGGGTGGCCCAAAGACCTCTTTTTCGAACTTGTCGGCGTTCTCCTGAAGCCAAGCATAGCCCTTGGCCACATCGGGCCATTTCTTCTGGATGAAGCTGAGCATCTGACCCTGTTGAGAATGAAGGCCTTCAAGCTCCCGATTCAGGGCCTGCTTCATGTGCGTCTTGGCATGCCCTTGTTCTTTGATATCTCGAAGCTTGCCTTCAGCTTGACGAGATTCGGCCTCGAGCTCTCGGAGTTGATGCTCTTTCTCTCGCTATGAATCATGTTAGTTTATAATGCCAAACGTTGGGCTGCGTGACTTACAATTTGGGTGTTGTGTTCTGTGGCGTTAAATTCTGCCGGCTTATTCTTTTTTTGATTTTCCAAAAGCCCTATTTTGCTTCGAATCTTGCCTAACTCTTGCTTTTTGAATTCGAACCCCTTCTTACTACTCTCGATGTTGCCCTCTATTGTCTTGACCTGTTCGTCAACATCCTCAATCTTGTTGAGTGCTACGTCGGCCGCAGCCTCTGTGCGTCGTAGAGCTTCTTTCCGACTGCGAACCACAGCCGACACCCTTTCGTGGTACACTTGCTTCTGGTTGACAGCTTGCAGGGACGGCGCAGCCTCATGCTCAAGCTTCCGCAGGTTTTTCTGGGCAAGCTTTTCCTGCTGCCTCTTCTCCTTGTAGAGGGCTTTAGACTCGAGATAATCCGCTACCGCTCTGGCATCGGTGAGGTCAACAATCTTTTGCAGGGCCTCCTCTCGCTCGCGAAGTCTATCGACGTCGTGCTGCATGTAATTCTGTCGGTCCTCGAGCTGCTTTAAATGGTCGCCGGCGGAATCGGTCCCACGCTGAAGCTCCTTTCGATCCTTGTGAAGATCCTGCAGACTCTTTTGCCAGTCTAGCATCTGCTGCGGCGCTGCAGCACGCAGAGTTTCGTGAAGTAGGTCTATTGGTGTAGCGGAAGCAAACTCAACGACGCGGTCTTGGGGTAAAAACTGGCACAGATTGTCGACCTGAATCTTCAGATCTCTCATCAACCCTTGGATAGCTTTGTGTGACGAATCCTTGCCATTCAGCCACCATTTTTGGCTGTTTCTTTCGCGGTCGATTTGGACCCGAATAACGTGATGTGATCGGTCCTCTGGTCGGCGCTGTAATTCAATCTCGATGACAGCAGAAGGCTTCCCGTGCTTGACAAACTCCTTGACATTGCCTGCGCGCCCCAAATGTTTCGGACTGAAGCCAAGGCCGAGGCATATGGCGCAGACAAGCGAACTCTTTCCCGTTCCGTTGGGCCCAATGACCATATTCAGGTTGGGACCAGGGAAAAATTCGGCGAGTTCGTATGTGACAAAATTCTCGACTTTCACCCGGCGGATTGCGCCAGGCGAAAAGCCATCTTCGTCGCCTCGGCTCGATGTGCTCTTGGATCCATTTGTACGAGACCCGTTCGGTAATGCGTGCTCATCGTCGTCCTCGGAATTGTTGGCGTGTCGGCTCAGGCGGGGGCGCTTGGTACCTTCAGAGCCATCGGAACACGGTTCTGAATCGTCGTCCTCGATGTCGCGTCGTCTGCGACGACTTGAGGGATGGGAGGGCATTTCCGGTCGATGAGGTGGTGTAGCTAGGAGCAGAGGCGTGGTAAAGAAGTCGGTAGAGTCGGTAAAGGGTGGTGCCGATCTGAGGGAGGCTACCTTACCTCCGGTCGTTGGCGTTGGTGGTCGTCGAGTGCGACGCGAAGTAATTAATTTGGACGCGTCGGATCTCACCCCGCGCGCCACACTCCCTGTACCTTTGGTGTAGGCTCCCTTCGTCGTTGAGGAAGGAGCTAGGAGGGTCTGATTACATAAGGATCGAGGAAGCTGCTTATCTAATAATGCTCTGGCATGTAGCTGCCCGGCGCAAGGTGGTAACAGTGGTGGGGTTGGTGGGGCTCTCAGCTGCCGTGCGCTCCAGCGTAGGTAGGTCCCGTCCGGTGCATCTCAGTGGGGCTGAGGTCCGCACGGATTCCAGTGCCGCGGGTGGCTGCCAACTTCATCCCTTAACATCAGCCGGTTGTTGATCCGTCGTCCGATACGGCCAACGTCGTCTATCGCGCCCCGATGCCCCCCTTCTCAGGAATGTTCGCTGACACCTGATGAAACCCTTCGTCAGTTTTCTTCGCAAGGTGTGGTGACACCTGTCGAGGATGCTTCGTAAGTGAGGTTGTGGGTGTGACCCCCCTCATCCATAGAATCGTCCACAATGTGATTGTACCTCAAGTACGCCAGAAGAAAGAGGCAGCTGTCACCTACAAGAACGACACGTAGGTGCCCTGAATGGTACTTCACTCGCAGACAAAGTATGGCGAAAACTCCTTTGGCAGGAGCAACGCTTGTAAGTGAGATAGCCTCGAAAATCGACGATGATAAGAATGACCAGAAACCAAAAATGACGTCCGAGGGAGGCAAGTGTGATGGGTGACAAACTCAGAATAGGGCGCCATGAGCGCCTCGAGTTTTTCTTGCTTGGTTCCTTCCCCAACGTCAGGTGAGATGTCTGGTAGCCGAATTCTAGAGCTCCGCCTCCATTCCAGTTGCCCTTGGCTACTTCGGAGCGTGAACCCCAGTGAGACCTTACCGCTGCTGTATTCGTCCTTTCAACGGGCCTCGAGGTCGCTCCTTGAAAGGGGGCAACGTCTGCCTGCTGTCTCCCTTCGAACATTCTATTTTCTGCCGATTGCCTCACCTGCCCCAGCACCCTGGCTCCCACTTGCATTCCCTTCTCCTACCACAACACCTCTGCCTTGACTCTGCGCGTCTTGGGCTTTTCCCCCGTCACCACTCGGATATCCGCGCTGCCTTTCTTTCTCCCACCTCCAAACACCATCACACACCACTCTCTCGATATCGTCTGGCTTTTTTGGCAATCAGTCTATCAAAAAAATCCATCCATTCGTTCAGATCCTGGCCGTCATCACCCTCTCTTCTTTCTCACTCACTTAATCTACCCAGGATCCTTATCTCCTTTCCCAAACATCTCCCTGTTCAACGTCTTAAATACGGTTGACATCGCCACTTGCCGTACTCGAAACCGATCATGTTCTGACCGCGACCCCGGAACTACCGCTGAAATGTCCGAGACTGGTCGGACGAGGGCCTCGGCCTCTCAAGCCCGGGCGCCTCTCGCGGACGCGACGCAACGCATCAATAATGCTTCCTCCAAAATCCCCGTCAAATCATCAAAGTCACGCGACAAAACCACCGGTCATTCACAGAATGCTGCCGCTTCGGATCGCCAACGCCATACCAACGACTGTGACCCGCCGGTCTCTGGAGCGAGAGCCACAGCTGCTTCGGCTGGTCCACCTAGCGCTCGAAACCCTGCTGTTGCAAGAGCGCGAGCATCACATGATGTCGACCCGTCGAAGCGCATGTCTCAGGCATCTCAGGCCTCCACGACCACGTCGAGCAAGAGAAGCAGCGGATATGCTTACAAGACACACATTGGTCCCTGGTTGTTGGGCAGAACACTCGGAAAGGGCTCATCGGCTCGCGTGAGACTCTGCAAGCATCGTCTGTCTGGTGAATTGGCCGCCGTCAAAATTGTGCCCAAGAAGACAGCCTATCTGATCCAAGCTGGCAGTCTTGCTGAACTACACGACTACGACGACAGTTTGCCCGAGAAGATCAATGGCGAGATGCGTGTGCCTCTTTCAATCGAGCGAGAAGTGGCCATTTTGAAGCTGGTCGATCACCCCAATGTTATGAAGGTGTATGATATTTGGGAGAATCGATCAGAGATGTTGGTTGTCACTATCGCATTGAGACAAGCTCCAAGCTAATTTTTGAATAGTTATCTGGTACTTGAGTATGTTGAACAAGGCGACTTATTCGACTACATCAATACCAACGGTCGGTTCACTGAGGAAGACGCCATGTTTCTCTTTCGGCAAATGATGAGCGCCCTTCAATATTGTCATTCCTTCAACATCTGCCATCGAGACCTCAAGCCCGAGAATATCCTGTTGACCCCCGACAACAAGGTAAAAATTGCCGACTTCGGCATGGCCGCTTTGCATCAATCTTCGGAGCACCGACTTGTGACGGCTTGCGGCAGTCCTCACTACGCTGCCCCTGAGCTCTTGAAGCACAAGCACTATCGAGGAGATAAAGCCGATATTTGGTCTCTGGGCGTCATTCTCTATGCCCTTCTAGCCGCGTGCCTGCCCTTCGATGACCCCGACATTGGTGCACTGCTCCAGAAAACCAAGAGGGGCATATACGAGATCCCAGATTTCTTGAGCCCTGAAGCCAAAGATCTCATCCGTCGCATGCTTGTGGCCAATCCTGATACAAGAATTAGCATCAAGGAGATGTGGCAGCATCCACTGATTCGGAAGTACGATTATCTCGACGACCTTGGCAACAACTATCAACTCAACGACCTCCGCAAGGGCTTTCACTACACCCCGCTGAAGCCTCATGAAGTTGACCCTCATCTGGTTAGGCAGCTTCGGTCACTATGGCACATGCTCACCGAACACCAGATCAAGTTGAAGCTCATGGACTCTGCGTATGTACAGTTCCTGGCCCGCTGATTTGGCAAAAAGCTAACTTGACCCAGGAAAAACGACCAGAAGCTGTTCTACTGGCTTCTTCACAGCTACCGCCAGAAGCAGCTGGAGAATTTCCTCCCCGAGTTGTCGCAGTCTCCTAGTGACTACCATCATCTCCATGAACCTGTTTGGAAGAAGAGGGTATCCACTGTCGAGTTCAACCAGCCCAGAGCAGACGGAACGGGCAGAAGTGTCTCGCGCTTCACAGTCATCTCCCATGTTGCGGAGACAGATGATGGAACAATTCAGAGCTACGATCCTTACAACTCGAGCCGGCCTATGCGAGGGCATTCTCAGGCAAGCCATGCAAAGATTGTCGTTCATCGCAATCGTCGCGGCTCCATGAAGCGGGACAATACACAGACATCGCAACTGTCACGCATCAAGACAGGCTCGACGCTGCGTCACTCACGCGTCAACTCCCAGCGAACAACACACTCTGGCCGCTTCCAGTCTCCCCGCAGCTCAATGAATTCGCTCCATAGCAGCAGACAAGGAACCTCTTATAGCAGACCGGCTTCCCGTCACAAGCGAGGTATCGACTTTTCTCACATAAGAAAGAAGTCTACCGATACCCACGCCGACAAGCGTCGTCGAGGTGCCCCGGGCGTCATTGGAGAGGAAACTTACCTGAAGCGTCCGCAATCTCCAATCAGTCCGCCAAAGCGCATTTCTATGATGGACAGACCTAGACCAAAGCTGAAGATTGTGAAGCCTCAGGATCCAGCGGTCATTGTTAACGAGGAAGTTCGGCACTTCAGCAACAGCATCGCAAAGGACTGCGATGAAGCCTTCAACAGCTTCCTATCTGTCGATGAGACAACAGAGCTGGTTTTGGAAGACAAGAGTAGTGGTATCAAGAGAGAGCCTACGGGCCTGTCTTTGAGCCCAGTAACACCCTCTCCCGAGACTTTGACGAATCCTTACCATCCATGGGACACTCGACCCTTGCCGCCTTTGCCGCCTCCCAAATCGACGCCATCCTCGATTTCGGAATCTGAGAGGCCTAGCAAGAACTACGACCATCCTAAGGACGCACAGCATTCTGGCCGGGTCGGAAAGTTTGTTGATCAAGTCAATCGTCTAGGTTTTCCTACTCTACTTCCTAAGCAAGACCGCCGTACTGTATCCGCACCTACACATAGTCAAAGCAAAGTGACTGGTCGCTTGCCGGCAATCAACGAGAATGGGCGAGACTCGGAGTCTTCATCCCACTGGGGAGATGCTGACCGGAACAGGGTTGTATCTGCCCCGCCCAAGACCCCTGGCGGATACGCTGAAAATGATGGTCTTGATTATCTGGTCCAAGCAGGAGAGACCATCCGTGTTGTCAACTCGCCCAGTGCAACGAGTCCGATCCCGAAGCCTCTGAACGTGCGAAAGAAGACAGCCGAGCGACCAGCTTACGAGGACCAGGTCGAGGAGCGCTACGTCTACATGCATGGCGCGTCGGGTACAGATGAACCATCAACTCCATCTGCTGCTACTTATGGAAGTAGCACAACGAAGCAGAAGAAGTCCTCGTGGTTCAAGCGGTATTCAAAGGATAGCACTTCTAGAGAGGGTAGCATCAATACCGAGGCAACTCAAGAAACCCAGACATACAGCATGACAACGCAATCTACAGCCCCAAGCCGCTCGGAGACAAAGATCCACGAGCATCCTCCCCCGGTTGCAACCAAGAAGAAGGGCTTCGGCTTGCTTTTCTGGAAGAGCAGCAAGGCCAAGTCAGAGGGGAAGATGGCGATTGCGGGTGAGCTACGAATTACGAAGATTGTACCCATTGAGCATGCCTCACTAACATATGTCACAGGTCCAGATTACGATGACTCTTCCTCTCCCGACGACCGAAGAGCTATCGGACACGAAACGAGCCGGAAATCAGTTAAGAGCTGGAACGCCTCTGAGAAGGGAGCTCGGACAATTGCGGTTCATCAAAACTGGCTGGCTCGCCTGTTCGGGGTCAAGCCCGCGACGAGCTACGTGTGTCTGGTCATGTCACGCAAGCGAGCTCGGCAGGAAATGGTCATTCTCCTCAAAGACTGGCGACGTTATGGTATGAGAGATATCCAGGTCGAGAAGGAGAGAAATATTGTGTTTGCCCGAGTTGGGGCGCAGAATTGTAAGTTGTTATCCAACTCTCCATCACAAAGCCATACTTTTTCCCCCCTTACTAACTTCTATCGCAGACTTAGGCATGAAGGAAGTTGCATTTGCCGCGGAGATTATGACAGTGATCGAGCACGGGAAGAAAGGTCCCCTCTGCATTGTACGATTTACACAAGAGCGCGGGGCGGCCAGCAGTTTCCACAAGGTTGTGGACACGGTTCGAACGGTGTTCGGATCGCGAGGGCTGGTTGTCGCCGACAAGTCCAAGGAGAAGATGATGATCAAAACGCTCAATTCCTGAGGATGGACGAGATTGCATTTGGCGTCAGAAGGCGGGCGGCGACATTTTTCTTTGGGGCACCGGCTCGGGAGGTTGCTTGACTGAGGATCGACGGGTTCCCCCCACGATTCTGCTTTTTCTTTCCTCACTTTTTCTTGCCAGTCACATACCTGGGATCAAGCATAGGCTGGGCATTTTCTTTTCGGAGGACAGGGATTGATTCAATGCGAGCATGGACTACGGATGCGGCTCGACATCAAGGGCCTTGGAGAGCATTGGAGGAACTGGAGGATGGATAATTACTGTGGTTGGATGGCTTTCCCAGCACTGCAGCTGAGGTTTATATCCATATCACGATGGATTGGTGGTTTGGAGATTCCGTCCGATGATTGAGATTATTCTTGAGCCATCAACAGTTTCTTTGTATGGCTGAGAGGCAAGGAGGCTATTGTTCATAGAGTCGAGCTGCATAGGTACCCAAAAAGTTGATTGCTATTACATTACAGAGGAGGGCTGTTGTGTTCTCGACACCTAACTCAATGTGTGTTGTTCTAGGTGGCGGCAAGGGCCGGAAACTGTCGGCATGCACGAGGACACTGATTGGAGTACGCGGAGCTGGGGTAGCACGTCTGCCAGACCTCGGCAGCTCGGTGAATCGGATCTAGAGGTGGTGAACTCGAGCCACGGGTAAGGATCCATGTGTCCCGCGTCACAAGAGCTCGGCAAGTGGAGAGAGCATTTGGTTTCTTAAGCATGCCAAGGTAAAGTTGAGTGCCGATTTGGTGATATCTGCAGGTTGCTTGTTTCTCGCTTTCAATCATGCTCCCATTCGAGATTCCGAGGAGGAGTTGATGCGCAACGAGCTCAACCTCCTAGTTTTAAGATGCAGCCGTATGTGGATCTCCGGCAGACCCTTATTCTTACCTTACCTACCCCAGAGACGGAGACGAGCTTCAATTGCGGGCCTCGCCTCCGTCGAGCATGGCTTTCGCCGGCGGCGACAGTGCATTTTTCCCTTATCGCGGCCGGATCCGACTTCGGCCTAGGGAACTGGGATTTTTGGGCGGGTACGTTGGGATACGGGGTTGCGAAAGCACGCAAGGCCATGACTTGGGGTAGAAAGAATTTGCACATAATTGCTCGATTGTATCGAGTAAGACATTCAATTGAGTGAGGTGGTTCAAGTAGTTTTGTAGTAATCAAGGTAAGGTAGCTGGCAGAGATGGCCATTGTTGCTGTCGATTTTCTCTGCAAGTCTTATCGCATTCTGACCCCACCATGCAATGCCCATGTCACTGTCAGCCCAATCAGACCTTCCAGAGGCATTGCAATGAGGTCACTGCGAAGCAAGGCCCCTCGCTGGAAGGCAGGTGTGGTGTTGCTGGGTTAAGTTCTCACTCGGATCAGAACCCGAGCTCGACTGCCATAGAAAGTGCATGGAAGGCAAGGGCCACAGGCAGGTACATGCCATGAAGCAAGCTGGATGAGCACATGCAAAGTCACTGTCCTTGCCGCAGAGTAGACTTGGAGGTTCCCGTCGGCTTCTTTTCGTGGTCTGGTTTCACTCTTTCCCCACACTTTCACAAGCGTCTGGTGTCTGCCTCTCTTTGACGAGCTCAAGGAACCTCCCTTTGTAACCCGATCTCCAACATCAACCACAACGCATGGACGCCTCTCTCTCTCTCTCTCTTTCGTCCTTCCCCTCTCCTCTTCTCCCCGCGGTCCGGCTGTGAAGCTCTCCATCCACCCGAATCAGCCCGATCACTGCCGACCCAGGTATGGTCGCTGGCTGTTTCTGGGTCCCTGACTAAACTGTGATGATACTATCCTAGTACAAAAGATGGTTAGGCCTATGGACCTTTCCCTTCGGCTACCATTCCGCCAATTTGCATGTACCTCGGGTGGATCCCGAGAGGTTCCCCAGGTCCCTCTTTTTACCACTTCCTCTCCTGGCCTACTCAATAGAAGTCTGCGCATGCATCATTCCTGCCCTTGTCATGGATGATGGGCGCCGGCCAACCCCTCGCTCGACTCGTCTATGCCGAGCTTGCGACGGCACTCGCCCAGGTCCAACGCGCCAAACCCCCCGTCGGGAGCTGTCTTCTTTAATAATTACATAGTGCCTTGCATTCTTCGTCCGGTAGCCAGCAAACCTACTTATTCCGTCTATTTCTTCCAGAACACCCAGCCTCATACTTCCTTTATACTTCGTCCATCCCAATCCAATTGCTCTCGTTCTCCTTGAAAACTAAAGATACCCCGCGTACTACGCTTACCATAACCGTCCTGTCTCACGACGAAGCTTGTGCGCATTCCTCTTACACGTGAAAACCTTCCTACGACAACCTGCCAGTACAGTCGCCGACCGGGAGATCCTACCATTTGCGTACTACTCAACACTAAACACCATCACGAAGTGTAGACACACACCTACACATATTCACACATAATGGCTACCACCGAAGCAATTCTCCAAGGCGTCAACGTCCTGGGCAACGTCACGGATGCTCAGCGCAAGATCCTCACCCCCGACGCCCTCGCCTTCCTGGCTCTGTTGCACCGCTCTTTCAATGCCACTCGCAAGTCACTGCTCGAGCGCCGCAAGCTCCGCCAGGCCGAGCTGGACCGCGGCGTCCTGCCCGACTTCCTCCCCGAGACGAAGCACATCAGAGAGAACTCCACATGGAAGGGTGCCCCGCCGGCCCCCGGCCTGGTTGACCGTAGAGTCGAGATCACCGGTCCCACCGATCGCAAGATGGTCGTCAATGCTCTGAACTCGAATGTCTGGACTTACATGGCTGATTTCGAGGGTGAGTCTGCTCCATATCGGACTACGTACTCAAACCCAATGGAATACTGTACTGACAATTCTCCACACTAGACTCGAGCGCACCAACCTGGGATAACATGGTCAATGGCCAAGTGAACCTGTACGATGCCAACCGCCGCAAGGTCGACTTCAAGCAGGGGTCCAAAGAATACAAGCTCCGCACCGACCGTACTCTGCCTACTCTGATTGTCCGACCCCGTGGCTGGCACTTGGAGGAGAAGCACGTCACCGTTGACGGCGAGCCCATCTCTGGCTCTCTCTTCGACTTTGGCCTCTACTTCTACCACAATGCCCGTCAGACTATTGATATTGGCATTGGCCCGTACTTCTACCTCCCCAAGATGGAGTCCCACCTCGAGGCCCGCCTGTGGAACGACGCTTTCAACCTGGCCCAGGACTACGTCGGTGTCCCTCGCGGCACCATTCGCGGAACCGTCCTGATCGAGACTATCCTGGCCGCGTTTGAGATGGACGAGATCATCTACGAGCTGAGAGACCACAGCTCCGGCCTCAACTGTGGTCGCTGGGACTACATCTTCAGCACCATCAAGAAGTTCAGGAACAACTCCAACTTTGTCCTGCCCGACCGCAGCGCCGTCACCATGACGAGCCCCTTCATGGACGCCTACGTGAGTCCCCTCGCGCCCTCTCGCGTGGTTGTATAGAGGAAGGACTAACCCCGTGCCACAGGTCAAACTTCTCATCCAGACCTGCCACAAGAGAGGCGTTCACGCCATGGGCGGCATGGCTGCCCAAATTCCCATCAAGGACGACAAGGCCGCCAACGACAAGGCGATGGAAGGCGTCCGCGCCGACAAGCTGCGCGAGGTGCGCGCTGGTCACGACGGGTGAGTCTGCTGCTGTTCTTTCCTAGTGGTATTGAGTTACCCATTAACACAATATCAAAGCACATGGGTCGCTCACCCTGCTCTGGCTTCGATTGCCTCTGAAATCTTCAACAAGAACATGCCCACGCCCAACCAGCTCTTTGTCCGTCGTGAGGACGTCAAGATTGGCCAGAACGATTTGTTGAACATGAACGTGCCGGGCAAGATCACCGAGGAGGGTATCAAGAAGAACCTCAACATTGGCCTCGGCTACATGGAGGCCTGGATCCGTGGCGTCGGCTGCGTTCCCATCAATTTCCTCATGTAAGTTCCACGAGCTGCTGGCCGTTTCCCCCTTTTAAATCACATCATCAAGAGAAAAGCTCACATACGTGTGTAGGGAGGACGCCGCTACCGCCGAGGTCTCTCGCTCTCAGCTCTGGCAATGGGTCAAGCACGGCGTGTCCACCGCCGAGGGCAAGAAGGTCGACAAGGCCTACGCTCTCAAGCTCCTCAAGGAGTCCGCCGACGAGCTCGCCAGCAAGGCGCCCAAGGGTAACAAGTACCACCTCGCCGCGCAGTACTTTGCCGGGCAAGTCACTGGTGAAGATTATGCCGATTTCTTGACCACGTAAGTCTACATCATGCCACTTGCAATCCCACAATGCCGCCGCCGCCACCACCACCACCACCACCACCACCACCAGCATCGGGGCTTTATCTTTGCGCCCCGTGGCTTTGGCCCGCTGGTGGTTGTTTATCATGTAGCAAATGTGCTAACTTGACCAACAGCCTCCTTTACGATGAGATCACCGTCGTCGGTAGCGCACGCCCTGCTTCCAAATTGTAAACCGGGAGGACTAGTTGATAGCTCGCTTCCGAAGCGAAGGAGGTCACGCGCGAGATGTCATGCGTAATGGATTTTTTGGTTGGTGCCTCTTAACGGGATAATTATCAGGCACATTTGAAGTATTGTTTCGCCGAACGGGTTGGGTCTCGGGCCAAAGGCTTTCTGGGTCGAAAATTTGCCGGCCAGAATTTGGACATCTGCTTTGATGTATTGGGTCTACGAATGTAAGAATGAATGAGATTGAAAATTGATTTCAAGTTTATGAGTTACACACCCCCTCCATATCACTACGAGTCACGCCGTATCGTGACTTTCGGCTCATGAAGCCCAATGAGGGTTCGAAATTCTCCAAAGTCTACACGTCAACGACGGCGATAAGTTGAGGTGGTGGGCTTGGCCGTTGATGAGAAGCACTATTCGGTGTGAGTGAACCCGGACCTAGATCCGTGGCTTGACTACTTCAAGTTGGAGCCGGGTTTGAGGCAAATAGCCGCAGCCGAGATTTTGGAAAGTTACTGTTCCCGAGATGTGCTCGTGAATCTCTTGGCTCATAGCCACTGTCTTCCGTGGTTGACCGTAGTCCGCAGTTCGGCGAGACACGAAGCTGATGATGGAGTCTGTAGTGGACCCCGCCACCGGGTTTCTTCTTTTGCCTTGCCCCCTTCCCAAGCCGTTGCCCGTCACGTATGAATACTATCTGATGGATCGACATGCGTGGATAACTGTTGGGCTGTGCGTATGTGAGGGGCGTGTAAGTTCTGAGTCGTGTCGACGACGGTTCGCTCGTCGAAGGTGAGGGAAGAAGAAACACGGTGCACCTAAACAGATAATCAGGTGGAGACGGACCCTTCATGCAGGTTCCTATTGAGACTCCGGTCCGCTTTCAAGGTCCAGTAAGGCGTGAAAGAAGGCCATATCGTTGGTATCAATGACGTCTTATACATTGCACGTGTTGCACTTATGGTTGAAGGAATGTGCTAGGGAGTTTGAGAAATCCCCACCTAGGAAAGATATGGGATACTTGACATGTCAGCAGAGGCATGGGAAAGGAAAGGTGAAGGAATAAGAAAACTTCGAATCGGCACCGCTGGCCATCGATATTCGAAATCTCTTGAGGAGGCCTCTAGGGGCGGGCCGCGATGGTGCGGCGCGGTGAAGGATGAAGGGATGGGAGAGGGGGGTATAGTCCGGTTGCTGGGTGGCTTGAACGCGACCAAGGTATAGGACGCCTCTTAGAAGGCAAGAAGATGGGATTCTCACTAGACTCCGGAGTCCGGCGTCGTATATCATATCGACATGTCATAATCGGGCGTTTCAGCGGCGTGTAGATGGTCGAGCAGATGTGCTGCCCACAATTAGATGCCGCGGTGTCGTTGGGGCGGGGCGGGCCGTCTTTGATGAGTGCATAAACTCAAACGCAACCTCATCCTATCGCATCGTCGGCTGAGGAAGAAAGAGGGGGAGATAGATAGACCATATTCGAAAGGGCGATGGTCTCTGTCGCCACCAACAGAGGGCATCGCTACCAGGTCCCGGAGAGGCGGATTGGCCGGTACAGCAGGTTCCTTTTTCCAACGCCCGAGTTGAGTCGGCTGATCCATCTCCGCCATCTTCAATTGCAAAAGAAGTCTGGATCTCGGGGTGGAGGGAATCTAGGCCAGTTCGGACTTGAGAGGGCGCGCTATATCGGATCGCCGGCATGAGGATGGCGGTGATGTGCTTCCTGTTTGGAAGTTTGCTTTCGCATCATGTACCCGAATTCGGGAAGATGTTGAGCTGTTTCTTTGGTTGAAGAGTTTCTTATGCTTGGATCGGCCGCCGAGATTCGGGTGTCTAGGCTCATCGAGAAGATTGTGATCAGTCGTTTCCTTCGTTGATAAGATGACGAACGAGTGGGCTTCGAAAAAGTGATGATTCAATGATGGTCGGTCTCCCTCTGAAACCCGCATCGGACGCTACTTGACGCCTACCTATACGTGATCTTTTGCTGGCTCTACCTCGGGGCTCTACCCAGGGAAGGAGAGGATGTCCTGAGACCTGATCGCTTGGGTGTTGGTGATATGTGGGAGGTTTCTTTTACCTCGGCAACGCCCCTTTCTCTTCTAACTTTCATCATTTGTGATATGGACGAGGGAAGTCACGAGACGGCATAGCGCGGGACGGGAAGGGACGTCGGCGCCGGGAAACATGATGATTGGGAAAGAGTTTCACGTCGTCCGATGGGAACTTACCTCTCAGAAAGAAAGCGGACGGTGTCTTGAGCGTACTTCTATCTCACTTTCCTGTCTCGGATGTGAACGCCACGATGTTCGCTTAGCAAGAAGACGGGAGAGGGACGTTGAATGGAGCCCCCACTGAGATCGACTGCAACATACCCACAAGGCGATGTACGTCGTTGAGAAGAAACTCTGCAGTTCCTGTCTTGATCTGTTTGCCCCTTGTCCCTCATATGGGACCTGGGAAGATATCCACCCCCTACACGTTGATTAGATTAATGAGAACAGACATCGAGCGAACAGACGAGACCTTTTTTCAGCCTCCTCTCTTCCCTGCCCGGGCGACTGCTTGATGGGAAAGTCTTCTCTTTCTTACTGAGGGACGTGTTTTACGTTGCGGGGATGATCTACTGCGTACTCATTCTCGATATCCAGAATAGACGACATCTCGGGCGTCATGTCGGGAGTAACGGCCGAGACATGCTGGACGAATTTCCCGTAAATTGGATTGCACCCCAAAAAGGGTATTCATCTTCGTATAAGCGGATTGTCTTACAGGAATGGTTAGTAAGCGGTCGGCGTACATGCAGCATGGAGATGCACCGATGCCAACTTCCTCCGTGATCACTCGTTGTCAGTGATCCTTTGACTTGACGAGCACAAACAAGTCAGTAAGTGTCCTTCATTGGCGGTGGCCATTCCCCCCTAGCCAGCTAGCCAATCCGATCGTTGGGAGACCTTGCAGCCGGTGAGAGGAAGAAGAAATATAGACTCCCAGTCGGTGTCCATTCAACTGAATCAAACATGCCTTGCTTTTCGACGGGAGGCGAAGAATCCGCAAAGCTGGGTAATGCAAGGAACAAGGCTTCAACCGAGAGCTGACAGTGAGACGCAAAGGCTGCGCCTCGGAAATCTATGGCTTAAACCATGGATCCAAAGCGTATCGTGGGTTTCTTCTTGCGACTTGCTCGATGTATATCCAACAAACAGCGGATCGAAGGAGTTCAACTTGATTGACACCTCCCTCCGCCTCCGATACCTTTGTGTGTTGCTGACCGCTACTGACGAGGTCCCTTCTGAAATGTCGAAATATGATAAATTGAGTGGGTTTGAGACTAGCGGCGGACCTCTTGCAGTTGATAATGCCGCGTAGATTTGTCTTTGGGTCTCCTCAAAAGCAATGCTGCGTCTCAGTCATCATCTTGGCCGATGCCGGTATCAAAAGAAGCGTCATGATGCGAGAGCACATACGGTGGCACAAACGACAACGAATTTGGTACCACTCGATGAAGCACAATCGTTGAACCATGCAATTTGTGTATTCAAAGATGTCGGAACAGCGAATGTGGTTTCTGAGACAGCAGATGTTATCGTCCACGTTCACAGCAAGATGGATTGCTGTCGGTCGACCTCATGAGTGTGGTGATACCATATTAGGGTTGTAGCAGAGGCATAGCAAGGGACGGCTTTTGGGAGACTGAGCCATTCGGTGGCCTATGTCATGATCGTGGTAGTTCAAATTTCATAGGGGTGTCCACATCTCTACTAATTTGAGCAGGCAGCTCGACCTCGAGATGACTAGGGTGACACAGGGATGCATTGTATGTAGTCTATCGACTTCAAATCGGACCAGTACCTAGCGGCACCAGTGGTCGATGCAACAAGTCCTCGGTAATGTGAGATGAGAAGCTGAACTCTGTACTTCTGCTCTGGCCATTGCTCAGCGGGAAATGGGTTCCCAAGACGCACAACTGGGAGTTGATAGATATTTAAGACTCGATGTTCGGTAGGGAGCTTAAAAAGATCCATGGCATTGATGGTTATGACCTCGAGCGTGGGAGAAACGACCGAATACCAAAGACCAAAGTCCTAAGTAAGATTGTGCAGGTATAGTAGTTATCTCGCCGGAAGGGGGGCATGGTTCAGAGCCTCGAGACCACGAGGCGCATGCTATAACAGTAGAGCCGAAGGCCGTTTTGTATGGCACAGGTACCAGACCGCATCAGATAGAAGCGTGCTCTGAATTATATGCCAACTAATCAACGAGGCAAGTCCCAAAAGGTCGGGCTTTCTTGAAATTGGGTCATACTTGAGAACTCCAAGAAGCTAAAGTGGCTTGTGTTCTCGGGACCTGCGTCTAAGTACCTCAGAGAGTGATATCGGACTAAGACGAGTAAATCTTTTGAAGGACAATGTGGCATGATGTTGCCATCTAAGTTTGGTAATGGAGTATCGTGTACGACATGGTAAAGGAGCCAGAGAATATCGTGTGAATGATGGAACATAAAAGGTAATTTGCCGACTTATTCGACAATTGTGTCTTCAAAACAATGATTTTCGACGTAGATACTGGAGGTGAGCATACGTTGCAACCTGGAAGCCTAGAGAAAAAAAGACGTGTCGACAATAGGAGGACACCGTTGACCCTTGTCTCTGTGAACGTGTGGTCCGACGAACATTAATGGACGATGGCATAATAGACCTAAAGAGACATCTCCTCAAGTAGATAGAAACTGGGGATTTTCCATCAGGACTAGAGCTAGGTCAGAAGAATCACGTCCAAGGTAGCTTTTCACATGTTCCTCCAGTTACTTTCAAGCTCATGGACCTAGCAAATCATCCTGGGTGGAGTCTAGGTAACTGGAGCAGTTGAAGACCGCCAGTCAAGACAGGAAAACCATTCTTGTTTTCATCTTTTGACATGACGGTAATAAGCCCAGAAGATATTCTGTCCATTCTGTGATGGAATTGTCTGGTAGAGCCCATGCGGAACACTGTCATGCTATGGCCAGAGTACTTCAAGGTCAGTTCTGCTCATTCGCGTCGGTCCCGCCACAAGCAAACACTGGCAATGGTAGACAATAGTCGAGTAAAGCTTTACGGTTTGAAGTCTCTTGTTTGAGTGGGGTAACACTACTAGTAGAAGAGGCAGTGATCGAGGGTGGTAACTCTTTGAGTTAGAAAGCCATGGCTGAGGTCCTTGGCAATTAACTTTAACAGAGCAGATTTGAGGCGAATAGGGCTGAAGAGCAGGAACACCGTGTTAGCTGCACCAAAGTTTTTGGGCGCATTAATAGGTAGGGAATC